GATATAATTTTTGGTAAATAAACAAAAAAACCTTCAAGTGTCTAGTTTATTCTCCAGGAGTTTCAACCTCTTCCGATTAATAGCGGCCGCGCAAGTGGTTATTAAAATGTGTCAGGTTTTTCTGCCCAACCCTGTACATAAAAGAAGTACAAGAAGTATACATATATGTACAGACGGCATCATTAATTTGAAGAATAGGCGCGGGGACCGGAAGGCAAGCGGGGCGGTTGCTCGTAGCGCCAACGAGCGCCGTACTAACTAACTAGTAGCAATCGGGTGTCCACAACTACGACGTAGTATTTAGCCCGTTGGCGCTACGAGCAACCGCCCCGCTTGCCCTCCGATCTCCGCGCCTATTCTTCGAATTAATGACGCCGTCTGTACATCTATATTGTAGAGGTCCTTTCCACGGTCAGTTTGCAAATTGGTTGGACATCGTTCGTTATTCCGAAATATTCCTGCAAAACTTTTGGCGACTTCACATCCACTTTTATTCTTAAGCAGTAGGGCCCACGCGTAGTAGCTCAGCACATCGATAACCGTAAGTATGTAGTTGTAGCCTCTGTTGAAGCGCGAATACGGACGCATCTCTACCACATACGCTTGCCAGAGATCATCGTACCTGCATACGGGAACGCGTCTACGGGAAAAATTTCTTCTTGCCGGAGCATGCAATTCTTTTACGAGACGTTGTTTTTTTATTGTAGCACGATTTCTGGTTATAGTTGTCTTACTATATGTCTACTGTGTCAATCATTTTATTTTGGTTTGATAGATATTGAGATGTACGCTGAATGTGTTTTATAGCATCGCGCAACGCTTGCACATCCTACTGCAATGCAATAATTTTTATCTCACGTGTCTCTTGTCATTCATTCACACTCGTGATACACATATCTACATATCGTTTGTTGGCGGCGTCAGTGTCGGTATCAGTTTGCGCTACATGCAGTATCTTACTTATCTTCTCGCGGGAAAGGGGGGGGAGTCCCACATAACCCTGGCTCTACTCCCCGAGAATCAGGGTATCTGTAATGGATTTCCACCACGTAAAAAAAAAAAAAAAAATGGTTAAACATGATTTTTGGAAAAGGCACACCACCTTGTCGTGGTTCCCGAGCTTGCGTGCTGTGACGATCTGAGGGGCTATGCCGGCGGGAACCTTGGTTCCTGGTAGGGTCTCCCTTGCCGGACAGGTTCTCAGTGAGCGCCCAGACTAAGAATGTGCCTAGGGGAAGAGCAACCTCGAAGGAAAACCCGGGCAGTTCGGGCTCGTTAGCCAAGTTAAGGCAACCGACCTAGATCAAGTTCAAGACCAATATAAAACCACTTCTTTTGAAACTATGGGTTATGAGGGAAAAGAACGTAGAAGTAGTACCGGACCAGGTCGACCGGACGGCCAGGTTTCGGCGCGGAGGGGCCAGTGTCCCGGGTTCCCCCGTGTCATCTCATGACGGGCGGGTGGAGGAGTGCACCGCAGGCTCCTTTATTTATTCTGCCTCTGCGAAGTCTGGGCCCTTGGGCCCTAGCATACATCGGAGGGGGATGAACCTTTATGTAGCGCTGAGGAGGGTGGAGGATGAGGGAGCTGAGTGCGAGAATAGCCGTCTTTTCGAACTCTTGCAGCTCACCTCTCTCCCCCGCGACGACGCCTCCAATTCGGAGGTAGAGTTGGTCGCCAGTACCCGGGACAAAGTACCGCCTCGCGAGTCGCGCGAGAAAGTGTGAGTCCCTCCGGTCTCCCAGCCTTTTAGGTCACCCAAGAGGTCTAGTAGGGTGAGAGTCCGGAAGCGCGGGAGGAGGAAATCCCCCACGACGGGGAAATACGTTGGCCTGGCCGAGGCCAAAAGGTAGTGCGGAGAGCAACCCCAGCGTGCAATGGAGTTGCGGGCCAAAAAGGAGCTGGCCGTGGAGATGGACGCTATGTGCGTCTCGGGCGTGTTCCGTTTGACCACAGTACAATTCGACACCGATCGATTCGACATCAAATTATTGGACACAAAATTATTGGACACAGATTTATTCGACACCAAATTATTCGACAC